AGAGTAAACTGCTTAGACTTGGAGAACTGGTTTTAAAAGTTTCCATCATGACAAGTTCCTATACTTATCTTCTAACCTTTATATTCCATGGTGAATTAGATGGTGATATTTGATCCAATGAACGAAATGTTTTTTTTCCCTGTGAGGTTGATACTATTGGTGTTAGAGTTTGTCATTGAAACTGAATGGCAGTTTTGGTGTGGGTTATCTTATATATTTCTTTTGTATTTTTAACTATTTTAGGTATCATCCTGCATGTGTTGGCATGACAATTGAGGAAGCCAAGAAGTTAGATCACTTTGTGTGTTCTGAATGTGCTTCTGAAGATGATGCTAAAAGAACACAAAATGGTTTTTCTTCATCACCGATAGATGCTAAGGTCAGAATTTTATCTTCTGCTTTTGTGTGATCACTGTTCATTTTTGGTTCAGTCTACCTCTGTCAGTTGGTTATAACATTCTATGAATGAATCATATGCCTCGTGAGTATTAATACATGAACTGTGGTAATTTTCAGTATTATTCGAATGCAAACTGTAGTTCAATGCATTTGCTTCCTAGAAACAGTGATGTCTGCCGGTTCTCTAGATTTATCCTCCCACATTTAGGATTAAGACGGATATTCCTAGTCCAAGAAGTCATCTGAGACATAGGTTAAGAGTAAACTTTATCTGTCTAATGCAAATGTCATTGTGTTTCTTGAATCGTGTGGAATGTGAAAACTTCAGATATTAGCTTCTAGTTGCATGATCGAGAGAGCGAGAATACAGGGATGTGTTGGGATGACTACCAAAATGTTATTACTGTTACTTTGCTAATTTCACCTTCAACTATTGGAGTTGTCACTTTTTCTTGTAGAAGTAGTTTTCATTTGAACTTACTGATAAATTTTCTTTACTGGGTGGAGTATATATTTGAAGAACATGTCTGTAACTGTAACTGTTAAGCATGAAGTGTTAAAAGGAAACTGAATCTCTATCTGCAATATCTACTGGATGTTTTACAAGGAAGGAAGAAGATGTATTTATTGTCTCATGTTGTTACCTTAAGATTTAGGGGCACTTATTCTCTCATTTAGCCATCAAGTGTATTTAGCAGAAGTTCCTTTCTATATTAATGGTCCGTGTGTATCTGTTTTAATTTCTCTCTTTTTTGATCCTTTGTTTTATTACAGACATTATGGTGCTTTTTTTTTCTGTCCTTTGTTGATGATACCATGTATTCTTGCCGTGATATGGGGGTTTAATTTTCTTCACTATCAGTCCCATCTCTCTGTACATATGACTTTGACCAACTTGCTGACTCCATAATCATAACATGAATATGTATGTATGCATTGATGGATTGGTAGTGAAGGCTCTGGGACTATATCAGCTGATGATTACTCACTGTATTTAGAATTGAAGTGCTTAAGATCCAACTTGAATATTTTGAGTGTGCTTACTCTCATAGTGCAATAAGATGTTTGGCAATTTCACATTTCCCATCTTGAGATACATTCCCATTCTACCATATTTTTCGAGTTCATAGCTTCAGATGTTACTTTTTTCTTAAATGATGTATAGAAAGTTAGTTCAAACTGATTTATTTATTTATTTATTTTTTTGAAATACTTCAAATTGATTTAGTTTGCAGAAACTTAGATGTAACTTTGACCATACTTGCTTCTGGGGGCTTAATTACATCTTTTCATCTCAACTTTTTTACTCTGTATTCTAGTTTGGTTCCTAACTTTTAAAACCATAAAACTAATGTTTAAACTTTTTATTTATTACTTTCAATCAAGTCGATCTATTACCTACTTGTGTTAAATAGGGACAGAAATTATGTGTGGGATCCACACTGGTGATGTGACTGCCAATTCAAATGTGGTAAAGCATTTAACTGGCTAATGTAGGTGCTTACTGGTAGGTCAAATGCTTTGAAACATCTAAATTGGAGGCGACAGTATCAATTGTTTATGATGTAGGTCCATTGTATTTTCCATGTGCCATTCCATTTGAGTTTAACAGAAATGGGTGATAGAAGAACAGAACTGAACTGAAGAAGAATGTAATGGAAATTTAAAATTTTAATTCAAGGTTTTAATCAGAAACTAAAATAGAACTAGGACAAGATAGCAATAAAAAATGTGACTAAGCCTTTTTCCGGATTGAACACTCATATTGATAGCGAGCAGCTTTAAAATTACATCTACTGATGAGTGCAATCTCTGTTTCATTTCAGGTGGATGCAAAACGCCGGAAGAGGTGATTCGTTTTTGGCGGGGATAATGATTGAGAACAAGTCTCATTCCTGAAGATATTTAGCTTCTGTAGAATGTCGATCCTAGCTGTATAGTGCGTTGTACTCCTGCTCAGTCTTTTGATGTTTGTAATTTGGTGTGTTTATGGTAAAGATGATTACCTGTGCTAGGTTTAGGAGATCATTCTGACCTTGTCAATCTGTCCAAAAGAAGGATCCATTTCAAGAGTAGTTCTTCAATGTCGAACTGAATATCCTTTGGTAGAATTAACGGAGAATTCAGAATCCTCTGTTGCTTCTGTAAAATGCAAGCAAGGTTTCTGAGTTTCTGTTTTGCTTCCAATAAATGCAGGGCTTTTTTTCTTTTTTTTTTCCTTTTCTCTGTTTTGTTTCTTTTTGTAGAAGAATAGGAAATTATAAGTTGCAGTATTGCATCTTACGCTATTATGACATGCTGGACTTCCCTACTACCCTGTATCTTATGCTATTATGTGGAGTCCCTTTGTACTCCATTAGAGAAGTTGTTTCGGAAAGCAAAGTTCTTCGTTCGAATAGAAATATACCCGTCATGTGTTTATGTCTATAGACTCCGAAAGTAATGATTTTTGAGCGTTTGAACAAAGTTTCTTCTGTATGTGGTAACGGTAATGTATCTTGGTCTTCAAGGAACAAAGAATAAAGGGTATAAATGCCTATCTCAAAAGAAAGCATCTTACAAGTTACATTGTCTGTTTGGCGTGACCACTTTTTGAGGATATACACAATAATGAACCTGCCTTATTTGCATGTTTAAGCTTTCAACATATTTATATCAGCCGGTTGAAAGAGAAAAAGAGTGTAACGCCTGGTCTAATTCTAAACTCTAAAGCAACACCTCTATTCACTCACGTTAACAACGTTACAGGAAGAGTAGTGTTGAGCTCTCTTTTCTAAAACAAACTGACGATATATGTATATATACACGTATGTTTATATCCTTGAACAGTTAGATATATACAAGTAATCTCTACCATCTCATTGGCGATTGTTAGAATGGGGAATTATAAACCTGATCATGGTATGCTGAGGTGCAGATACTTAGTGTTTCTTCTCTTCGTGTCTTCCATTTCTGTTTGTTTTGCAGAGGAACCGGGTATATACTTGGTTTTAGTTGAAGGAGAGCCTGTTGCTTTTCATCGTGATACTACTACTAATGCCAAAAGACTCGACCCCAACAGGTGAACTTTAAAATTAAAGAATTTACAAAGTAAAATCTAACAATTTCACTAAAAAAATTCATATTCAGATCATTTTACCTACATTCGAAATTTATTTGTTAAATAAGTGTAAATCTTAAATTTAAATAACTACTTACCATTCATAAACTTAAATGGATTAGTTTATATTCTACTAGTAGTTAAATTTATAGAATTATCTATCGAAATAGTTAATTATTTCGTGATATTTTTCATTTTAGGGGGGATGATTTAGTTTTATTTATAAAAATTTATGTGTGAAATTAGTGAGGTTGCCATGGTTCATGCAAAGCACTTGATTGATTCTCATGACAAAATTCTACAAAGCACTCTACAGACTGGCAGCTACAACAAACTTTACAGCTTCAAACACATTGTCAATGGCTTTGCAGTCCATACTACTTCTTCACAAGTACTACTTCTCTATACTATTATATACTTTCAGTTACTATACCTTTTATATATATATATGCGTGCATATGTGCATGTCTTTCCATGTTATCGTTAAAGTCGGGATCTTTTATTAAAGTTTAGAGTATTGAAGGCTCGAGTTTAAGAGAAAATAATATCTTGGAATTTATTGAAATTTTATACAGTAATTTGAATTTATCTCTATCGTAAAATAGATCACCTTAACTTAAATAGAGATTGCATAAATTCTCCATACCCTTTACTTTTTTGCTTAAGATATGCTTGCTTAACTTATCATATGCCACAATAATATATACATTAGTATAATGACATAATATATCAACTTCCTCTCAGGCTAAGAAACTAAAATATGCAGCTGGAGTGAAGTTAGTGGAGAAAGATAGAGGAGCCAAGCTGATGACAACATACACTCCTCAATTTCTTGGGTTGCCCCAAGGAATTTGGGCTGAAGCAGGAGGAGATAAGCATGCAGGTGAAGGAATTGTGATTGGATTTGTGGACTCCGGAATCAATCCAACACACCCAAGTTTTGTTTATGATCCAACCACTCCTTGCACATCAAATCTCTCTCATTTCTCCGGTGCTTGTGAGACGGGTCCCCGGTTTCCATCTTCTTCATGCAATGGAAAGGTAGTTTCTGCAAGGTTCTTCTCAGCCGGGGCTCAAGCACTTGTTACTCTTGACCCTAAAGTTGACTTTCTTTCACCCATGGATGCATCTGGGCATGGCAGGTAATCTTGAATACACAAGAGTTGGAATCCTTTGTAGCTCCATTGTTCAAATTGTGTTAACTAATTCGTTTTCGTCTTGTTAGTCCTTGATGAGTAAGAATGTGATTTTTCTTGATGATCAGTCATGTGGCATCAACTGCAGCTGGAAATGCTGGAGTTCCTGTTGTAGTGAATAGCTTCTTTTATGGACGAGCCTCTGGGATTGCACCAAGTGCAAGGTAAATCATTGTCATCTCCTCCAGAATTCCTGCAGATTAGATATATTATATGCCCAAATCAAGTCATTTTTCAGCGAACCGCATAAGTTTTCAATTTTTTCACTTTTCTTGCTTGATCTGCTTGCTTATAGTGAACCTGGACTCATTCTTCTCATGAATTATGTCACCTTTACGAAAACCATGTAAATTTCCTACGTCTTTCACTTTTCTTATTTGATCTGCTCGCGTAATTTATCATACATATCACACAACAGAATTGCTGTTTACAAGGCTATCTATCCAACAATAGGAACTCTTGCTGATGTTGTTGCAGCAATTGATCAAGTAAGTTTTAATTGGGTTTCCTATTCTTCTATGTTTCTTAGTTATTCACGTTCTAATCTCCTCCATCAACAACAGCTAACAAGAATTATCGTATTAGTGTTTCCAATCACTAAAAGAAGCGTTGCATCAATTCAATATATTTTTCAGAGGGTAAATCCAGGATTAATGAATTAACTAAACCACATTTGCCAAACCAAAAATTAGTGATGATGTATCTTTTTTGCTTCGTGGGTATAATTGCATATTACTAATACAATAACAGGCCGTATCAGATGGAGTAGATATCCTAACACTCTCAATAGGACCAGACCAGCCACCAGAAGACTCACCTACTGTGTTAAGTGTTTTCGAGGTTTCGATGCTTTTTGCTAGGAGAGCTGGAGTTTTTGTGGTCCAAGCTGCTGGTAACCATGGTCCTAGTCCTTTAACAGTAGTGTCCTACAGTCCATGGAGTGTAGGGGTGGCTTATGGCACCACTGACAGAACTTATCCAGGATCTCTTCTGCTTGGCAATGGCCAAAAAGTTGGAGGGGTGGGATTATCAGGTATTTATATCATTAGTCCTAGTTCTTGAAAACACCAAATGATCATCTTCTTTTGTTTTAATTTCTCAATGGCTAATTTAGTATTTTACCCTGCTCGAATTGGGTTTATCCATCCGGCTCCCAACCTATCAGGGAATTCTCTTCCTAAAAGAGGTAATTGAACGAGTATGGAAATGCTCAAATTGATAAGTATATTTTGTTTGACCTAGGACCAACTTTTGGAAATAGCTTGATCCTTCAAAGGCTAGTGTTAGCTAAGGATGCACTTCAGATAACAGGGCTATTTCCCAGGACAGCACCATATGTTGAAGAATGCCAGTTTCCAGAAGCACTAGACCCAGATGTAGTTTATGATAGCATTATCATCTGCACTTTCTCAGCTGGCTTCTTCAACCAGACTTCCTCTATTACAGCCATCATCAACACGGCTAGAGCTCTCAGTGTCGCAGGGTTCATTTTTGTTGCAAACCCAATTTATGGAGATTTTATAGCCGAGCCAATTCCCTATTCCATTCCTGGCATTTTGATCCCAAAGGTTTCTGATGCACAGGTACATTTATCTGCGTATATCAACTGACATGACATCTGAATATCTGCAAAATAAGATTTTAGTCTTATTTGTACGTTAACCATGTCTTCTAGATTATTTCAAGGTACTATGAAGAACAAACGTACAGGGACAAGAGAGGGTTGGTGATCAAGTTTGGGGCACAAGCAGCCATAGGAGAGGGCAGAGTTGCTTCTTTTGGAGGGCAAGCTCCTGTAGTTAGCAGATTATCTTCAAGAGGTCCAGATTATATCGATATAGATAGGAATCTTGTAGATGTATTAAAGCCTGATATTCTTGCCCCAGGACACCAGATCTGGGCAGCCTGGAGCCCGATTAGCGCCTTAGATCCCATCTTACAAGGTAAAAATAAAGTCAATTTTTCTATATTTTTATTTAGGTACTTGTTAATTTCTAGTCTCAATTTTCGTGTTAGTCTTAATATGTATAATTAGGTAAGAATTTGTTTTATTTAAATATATTAAGACTAATATAAGAATTGAAACTAATAATTAAACGCGAACTAAATCAAATGTAACTCTCTTGTAGTTTATTTTTCGGAAAAATGTTACTGGTTTTTTTTGTTTAATTG